TTTTTGCTTTCGGGTGGGTTGTTGGGTTTGTGGTTTTCTGCCTCGTACGCAAGGCGCCAAGCTCGCCTTTGAACTCCCAACAACGACTTTACCGCAATGATGGCTGACATGTTTGCTCGTTCCACCAAAACGTCGGCACGATACGGTACTATTTCCAACATAGTCCGTTGTATTCAACAAATCTAATAAGGGACAGTTCTCAAAACTCTCAAGCGAAGATCTGTGAAAAAAACGAACCATGCCCGAAAAGTTTGACAAGATAAGGCGACCAATCAAACGTAAAAGGAATGCACGGCACTGGGTAACATGAGACATGACGCTCACTGCTTAGAGTCTTAGAGTCCCACAGAACCTACACTGAAAAGGCTCGGATTTGCGAGGATGGTGTCGTTGCAATCTCAATCTCTTCGCGGTTTGGTTCTGCCTTCGATTTGACGCCAATCCATGTGCCCAAGGCATCCACAAGCAAGAGCACAACCCTTCGCATGACCAGCGACATGACATGCACAAGTGAACTGCAAATACTGCTACATCGCCAGCTTTGCCTGTCTGATGATGTTCACACGGTTTACAGCTCAAACTTCTCGCAATGTCAATCGCTCCCAGCTTTTTTGCTGAGAACTCCCAGCCGAATCTGCATCTGGACACCGTACATGGCCTGGCGCCGATCCAAAGTCATGCACACACAACTCCCGACAGCGCTAATCCTGTTGCATGCTGCGGCTTTTGTTTGTCCCGGACAGAAACTGGTAGTCTCTTCGATGGTTCTGCAAAAATGAAGCTCTTACTTGTCCAGCTCGTCCATGCTACCACTTCACTGCTGAGGCTGGGCGCTAGGCATCATCGGGAATTTCACGCTGGACACGCAAGAACCTGTCTGCACCTACGTGGAAAAGAGTCAACGTCCACTGGACATCCGATGCAAAAGTGCAGGGAAGCATTTATAGTAATAGATAGCAAATAAACCTATAGTAATAGATAGCAAATAAACCTACACGACACAATGCCGTTTGCATAACGAATGCCAGTGGAGCAATCCCCGGTCCCGCCGCGAAAATTGGCAGGTTCTCCCTACGTTTCGAATCAAGCAAGATTCTAAAATCTACATGGAGTGGCGCTCCCACCTGTGCTGGCGACCGTGATGCTGCATTCCATACCTAGGACCGGGCTTCACCGCCAGGCGAGGATTCTTTGGGCTCTGCCGCTGGCGGTTCAATCTTCTCTGGCTCTTTCGACTCGGAAGATTCCAAAGCAGGCGGCAGCGGGACCTGAGCAACGTCAACAGATCCGCTGGTAGCAGGCGGATCAGCATGTTTTTTCGACATGGCATCCACTATCGCAGCGACCACTTCAGCCTCGCTGGCCAAACTCGCTTTCAAGCTCTCCTTGTCCGTCATGCCTTTCAGCTTCTCCAACTCTTCATGCCGTCGTTGGAAGGCTAAGCCAACGCTGGCACTCGCGCTTCCATGAACAATGATTGGCCACCTCAAACCGATGTTGCACGTGTGGCACAACTCTGCAACAATGGCACCTGGGGGCAAGTACAAGGCGTCCCCCGGCCCAACGGTGGCCGTTTCCAAGGAGCAGGAAGCTTTGTAGTCGGCGATAGCAGAAAGCCCCAGGCTTCGGAAGAAGCCTGACATCCTGGAGGTTGTGATGATGCCCTCCACTCCTTTCCGCTGCATGTAGCCCACAAGCTGAACAGCACAGGTGATCATGACGCATCGGGTGCCAGCGATGTTAAATCTCACACATGCCATGCCTGCACACTCTGAGGAAACCTTGTCATACGTTGCATCGATCCCAAAGACAGACAACATGATCTGCTGCTGGAGACATGCTGCAAGAGCATCCTTGTCAACAACACTGCCACGTTTGAACATCTTGGCTACCTCCAAACCGAAGTCGAAGCCAACAGCTGCAGCATCCAAGTTCAAAGCCTTGGATGCTCTTGATCCTTTCTGCTGGGCCCTCATGAGATCAAACTGAGTCTTGAAGTCATCCACGGCCACTCGCAGGGCTGACTTCTCCTGCAACGCGGACGCCACCCAGTCCTCGACACGCACGATGAAGGGGCGGCTCAAGTCCAGCTCCGTGGGGTTCTCGGCTCTAGTCAAGTCTTCGAGCTTATGCTGAAGGATCGGGGTTGCATGGCTGATGCCCTGGTCGAACAATGGCAGGGTAGCTGTCGGAGGATCGGCCACCTTCGCCTTCATGGCCTTCTGAGACGCCTTCTCGCTCATTTTCTTCGCCTTGTCCACGGATGCCTTGAGAGCCTTCTCTGCCCGCAAAGCTCCTGCGAGCAGCTGGCTGATGGGGGCACGAATCGTTCCCAGCTTCTCGGACACGTCCTGATAGGGCTCAGGCATCGCTGGGAGAGTTAGTTTGCACTACGCTTCAGCATTCAGAGATTCACATTTGTTTAAGTACATCAGAGTGCTTCCAAACCTGTTGGGCGGGACACTAAAGCAAATCCTAAATCGGCCCCAACCCAGCCCAGCCCAGCAAAATATAATACACACGAACTTCTCCAGTATGCCGAAAACCTTCAAGCCTTTCCATCCCGGACCCCCAACCCAGACTTCGGCATTCCGGCACAATAAACTCATTCCTAGCTACCTCACACGATCCTTCAGCTGCTCTGGCTGCTGGCACCTGTTGTAATCCTCCACGACATTCAAGAACACGCGGAGGGGCTGGAGCTTGTCGTAATCTTCACAAGGAGGCGCCGGGGAGTCTGGAAGTCCAAACTTGCCAATGAACTGCTTCACCGGCACCTCTTCATCTTGAAGGCAGACTTGCAGGCCTTCCAGCCTCGGGGCCCAGGGCTTCGTTCGGGTCTGAGCTTGAGCGGTTTGGGGTTTAACCACACTCCAAAGCCCCAAGCCCGAAGCCCAGACTCTGCAGACCCCTCCAACAATTGTCCAAAATCCTATCCGAAAGCCCAGGTTCAAAACACAAAACCCAACAACAACAACAACAACAAACATTCGGATTATCTAACTTGTACTGCTGCTGCACAACATCAGGGCGAACTTTACACCCCTGCTTGGGTTTGGGTACATGATTATATGTATTTTGGATTAGCCCCGCTCGAATCTCCTTTTACAGACCCCCCATTCTCGAGCCGAGAATGGGGCTCTGTAAAGGAGCCAATGCAGTGTCGGATTCTTTTGCTTTTGAGGGTTTTGATGTCGTCGTGTTTTTATTTTTCGGGCTTTGCAGTCTTGGATTTTTTGGTTTTTGGGATTTTGCAATGTTGGATTTTTTTGTTTTTGGGGTTTTGCTATGTTGGATTTTTTGTTTTGTGGGGTTTAGGGTTTCGGGCTTAGGGTTAAAGGTTTAGAGGTGGGTTGTTGGGTTTGTGGTTTCCTGCCTCGTGCGCAATGTGCCCAGCTCGCCTTTGAACAGCTCCTTCACGTTGTCGTCGGAGTCGCGCTCGAACGATTCCAAGAACTCCTTCTGCTTGATGAGCTGTTCGTCGGCCTTCTGCTTGAACTGCTCGTACTGGTGCTTCACCGTTCGGATAGTGGAGGATACCAACCTGTCACGATCAACCCAAAGCTTCGGCTTCTTCGGGCTGGGCTCGGCGGTGTCCTTGTCACCGTCTGCGGCCGCTGGCGACCCTGCACCGGCACCTGCCTTGCTTTCGCTGTCCGTGACGTCGGCGTCCGGCTGCAGCTCCAGCACGTCCAGAAGAAAGCCGCCCCGCTCAGTGAAGGCAGCTTCGCCGTTCACTGCCAAAGCCTGAGCGACTGCTGAGAATCCCATGCTGGTTGCCGTGCCGTGCTTGCTCAACAACTCCGAGCGGTACTTGTCCACGTCTTGGTCCGTAGCCTTCTTCTTGGACTCACCCTGCATCGAGACACCTTTCTCGTGCATGTACTGCTGCCTCCAAATGAGAAGGTCTTTGACACCCACCCAAATTCTCAGAGAACCGTTTGGGCCCTGCCTGTCGAAGAGCATGTCTGGGTCGCCTTTCTGCACCTTCAGTGTCCATTCGGCCCACTGTGCCTCCGCTTCACTGGCACTCTTCTGGCCGCCCCGCGCCGTGGGAGCGAACTCCATGTACACCGCCTTGCTCATGAACTCGCCCACCTGGTCTTTCAAGAGCCCTGAGGAAGCTTTCACGGTCTCCATGTACTGCAGGAGGTTCCATGTCCCCCGGCGCCGACCTGTGCAAACCGTATTTTCCGGACACTTTGACAAGTAGTTCTGGACAAGGTCGAAGCAAGATTCGGGGTCTGATCGAGCCTGAGAGATAAATTTCCGAGCCTCTTCTCCTTGCTTGGAAGCGAGCTTCCATAAGCAATCGATTGCCCTCTTGCAACCCCAGCACCCTGGGAAGTTGGGTGCTATTTCGTTGTCTGCCACGCGTTTCCTGCACCCCCTGCATTTGATGGGTTTTCCAGCTTTCACCTTTGTTGCGCCCTTCTGGACTGCTTTGGCGCCGGCTCTGCCGGCCTTTCCTCGGCCCTTGGCATGGATTCCTTTGGAATCCTCATCATCGGCACCCTCAGTGCCTGGCACTCCGGGCAACTGAAAGTTGGCCCAATCTGCGTCAAGCGAATCCAACACCGAAGCATCATCGGCCTGGAAAGCCATGGCCCCGCTTCAAGCAGCGAAGCCGGTCACAAGTGGCTCAGCAAGAGTCCCAGACCGGACTCTGAGGCACCGAAAATCTACAACACGCATGCAGCGATCAATGCATACTGCATACGTGGCAATTAACTGTGAACTTGCAGGCCCACGCCGCACGGAGTGCAATGCCCAGCTTAGGGCAGGTCAAACATCTTTTATGGCACCCCCTCTCTGCCGACACATCGGGAAGCTACGATTGCTGGAAGAAGCGCAGACTCGAGCGCTTACACAGAAAGGCAACTGTACATTCTGGGGCCTCTGGGGCTCTGACCTCTGCAGGCATGACAGCGGTTGGCAACAATTCGTTTTCCACTACTGCAGGATTTGTACGTAGCTCCCCAGACTGCAACATTTCAAAATCTGCCTTGCCTTCCCACTGCCTGAACCGCTGCACGCCTTGAACTAACGCCTCGGGGCCCGAACATCTGTCAAGGCCAGCGCTGCAGCTAGCAGCAGCCCGGTCAAACGGCAATGGAACGAGTTGCCCATTACCTTGGCCACATCTCGATTTGAGAAATCCGTGAAGAAATCTGGGCCAAACGGAAAGTCCCTGGACATGCAAGGCCATCCCATCAGAAGGAAAGTCTCTGGTGGAGTCAGCATACGTTCAGCTTCGAAGGACCATATCAGCGACTGCGTCAACAGCGATGGGAACCTATCGGACAGTCTTCCTCGTACTGAAGCATTCTGGGACAGGTCCACGATGGGCTTCGGCACAGCCTGGCCATCAGTGAGCTGCTTCATGTACAAGTCCTTATAATCCTGCAGCCTTGCCTGCATTCCACTTGCGAGACAGGCTTCAAATCCAAAGGCTTTGACGGCACGGCCCTCATCAGAACCGCCTGCGAAGCATGCAGCATCAGCCGCATCCAGAACGAAGAACTTGTGCCCCGAGAGCGGAGGGGGGCATGGATGCAGCTGAAGAAACAACTCCTTGGTCAGGGCCGCCACCATTCGCAGCTTTTGGGTGCGGACGGTCCAGCTGAAGTTGCGAGGACGCACCATCGGCACACCGACATCGACAGCCCCAAGCGTGACAACCGATGTGGACCAGCCATGATCAGGCGGACATGCACAGTGCATGAATGCCCTGGTGTCAAAGAGGTGGGAGCATTCCTGGAAGATCATGTCTGCATGGCATGCCGCCCACGATAGCCAGACAGCGGCGACAGGTCCTGAGGGGTGAATCCATTTGGCCTGCTTCCCTTGAGGGGAAAAGGCAACACATGTGTTGCCCGCACCCTCCAAAATCACATCCTCTGCACTCATGTGCGGAGGCAGCAGCGGGCACTGCTTCTCATGCTTGTAGCAGTACGCTGTTCTTGAAGTTTGATTGCTTTCCTTTGCGATCTCTTCCATGCTCACGGAGAAAAGTTTCTTCATGCAGCGGTCACTAAGCTCTGCATAAGCTTTCTTTTTGTCTTCCTTCGTGTTCTTGCTAGCAGCTATCTTCGCTGCCCTTTCATCGCACGCTTTCACGATGAAATTTAACCGAGCCATGCAGTTCTGGTCCACACGCTCGCAGATGTCGCCAAAGACGTGCTCGGGGCACACTTGGCTTTGCATCAACATTGCCCTGACAGAAGCATCACTCTCACAGGCCGACCAAAACTTGAACCTGCTGCTGTCCAGTGTCGTGAACAAAGCTGCAAGCCTTGCAATGCAAAACTCGAAGGTGCCTACACCACTGTAGCTGCTGGTCACATAAATGGTGCCACCTTGGCCACAGCAATGTTGCTCTAGCCGAGAGCGGACCCCGGTGGCCGACAGGACTCGATCTTGCATGCTCAGAACGTCCTGGGGCCAAGCTGCCAATCTTTGTGCCGGACACTCACCCGAAGATTCGGCAGCAGTCTCGCAACCATCGTATGTCTGAGTCTGCAAACGCTGCATCTTCCTTGGAGGTTCCTGGACACATGTTGCCGGGGTACCTTCCACGCCAGAACCACGGGCGAGCGCCAGCAGACGCTCGCTTGGCATGTCTGGGCGAGTCGAGTCCCCGCTCTCTGCTACCTACACGCTCGGAGCTCCGCTGGAGCCTGCTCCAGCACAGAAGCCAATCCACACAATCCACACATGTGCACAGTGCACACAAAGTCAGACTTCCAGTCAATCAGTCTTCAGCAAAACCGGAGTTCCCCGTGCACACAACAGTCTTTCGCAAAAAGCTAGCCAGGCAGGCCTCTGCATCCAGTGGAACTCCAAGAGACAGCGGCTGGAACCTCCAATGCAAGATTCATCCGAACAGGAGATTCGGCGATGAAGACCCCAAAGCCTGGCAACCCCAACACTGTGAAGCAATTAAACCAGGCTGTCCAGTGGTTTCGGTATTGACGTCACGAGAAACACAATGGCCAGACTCGGCTTAAAGACTATACTCTGCTCACATCGGGAGTTACTGATTGCGGGCGGACACGCAGTCTGCGAGTGGCTAGTGATGGCGACGACGACGACGACAACGTCACACCATGCTGACAGGCACATAGAAAAGCTGCACTTTTCCTGTCACTCGCGATACGACTCCTGAGCTTTAGGGTCTTTTCAAAAACTGAGACTGGCTCTGCCTCGCAAGGCACGCTTGAGCTCGTGCTCTTTGTATGCCTGTATCAGCTCGAAGCAAGCATCGGTATCCTTTCGGGCTGCTGCGATATGTTTCTTTGCATCAGCATCGACCTCTTTGCCCGCCAACTTGTCAAGGTGATCAAGGATTTTCTTGCAGGCCAGGCAATGCAGCACCGTGTCATTTGCTGGGACCTCTGTCCGGCAACCAAGGCACCACGCAACCGGGGGCATGGCTTAGTGGACCTTTGTTTTCGTTCTTACTTCTAGTCTGGTCTGGCTCCTCTGCATCAACATCGGCTAAGGACTGACAATCTTTCACAGAAGTCTTTCTGAGCTGATTGGCTGCGGAGACCCCAGAAATGCTCCGAGCACTCCATCCCCCTCCCCCCTCCTCCGTTTCCTGCCCCTGCCTCCCCTCTCCACCCTTTGTGCCGCCTCCTGACCCAGCTCCTGGCCCTGCTTCTGCCATGCCCAGTCCTGTAACCCAGCAAAATCTCACTGACGGGCGGGCCTCGCCACCATTTCTGGACAGCAACGCCACGGCCGGCCTCAAACGGCTGGGTTCGCTCCAAAGATGTTTCTTTCACAACATTTTGCCATGGTTTGATGCTGCACGTGCCCCAAATAACCCCAAAACTGCCCAAAACCAAAACCCGGCACTCCAGAATTTCTGCTTTGCCAGGACCGCGTACAAACTGCACCCGTTCCTATTTTTGGTGCCCTAGAATGGGTTTTAGCGAGACTCGTTATGTTGCCACACAACTCAACAAACGGTCGCGTGATGTCGCGTGAGCTAAACCCTAAATTCATCAAGCGCCAGAGCTCACTATAAGAGGTGTCTCCGCGGGTCGCGGTGGGTCGCGCTGGGTCGCGGTGGGTCGCGGAACTGGTCACGCAACCTAAACCCGAAACTTTCCTGACGTCGCGGTGGGTCGCGGTGGGTCGCGCTGGGTCGCGGGGGGTCGCGGGGGGTCG